TTTCTTAATAGCTTTTGGTGTCTTTCGTAGTTTTTATTAATTTTTATATTTCGGAAAATTTGTGTTTTGATGATCAGTGGAAAGAGTTGGTGATATACTTCATTTAGAAGCAATAGTTTTGAAACTAGTACTATGAAGAAACGACAATGCACAATAATTATATGTGCTAAAACACCAAGGCAACCTATAAGAAGCATAACAGAATGGTTTTGGAATAAAGCTCAAGAAAATGGCACTTTATCAGATTACTTAAAAATTGAAGATGCAGTTTGCCAACTATGTTACAATAAAATGGTTGTTCGGCCTTCAGATAGTATGAAAAAACATGCACAGCCTATAGATAGTATAGATAGTATTCAGATTTTAGATTCAATAGAAGAGCCAGCACAGGAGTTAATTCGAGATGACAGTTGCGATCCATTAGAGTTAGAGATATTTTTTTCAAATACAATAAAGGCTATGACGGATATTTTATATCAATATGAAGTAGTAAAAAAATTGCTAGTATTTAAGAAGTTTGATGAATTTCGTGCCTATATGGAAGCAGAAAATAGATCTTTAAAATTTTTTTTTAATGAGCTTATATTGTTAATAAATTTAACACAAAAGAAGTTAGATTTATGATCTAAAATCATGTTGCAGTTGCTCTTTGTTTGTTACTTTCTTTGTGGCTTGTGTAACAAGTTTATTGTAAATTTAAAGTAGGATTTGGCACTTTTTTTAGATTCAAAAGGTACAGAAGATTCGGTAATTAATGCTTTGGCTGAGCTTGGTATTATATCAACAACAAAAACGGTCTGGCAAAAAAAAAAAGAAATTACAGAGAATCATAATATTAGTATAGATAAAAGTATAGAAAGATATTATAGTAATGTACTAATATTAAATGTAAACAATTATCATAATATTCATAGTAAAAAAGTTCCAGTAAATAATGAAACATCTACAGTAGCTAATATAGCAACTATTTTAATAAATCTAATAACAGACTCATATCCAATTTCAGCTAATTGTCTTCATAATCCAAAACTTGTAGATGTAGATCTTCTAAAAGCAGGTTTAGAAAATCAATTTATGAGACCATTAGAACTATCATTTAATGAGCGTTGGGAACAAAAGATAAGTGATAATGAAGAAGAAACAATAGATATACTAACAGTGCATAGTTATGATCTTTTGTTTTAAGGAAAAAGCAAGTGAACAGTCAATGGCTAATATTATTCTTGTTGATCTTCTAAAAAATAATTTGCATTTGGTTGATGAATATGTGGAAAGCCTAGATACAGTTGGCAAAGTTAACATTATTAGAAAATATCTTGATGCCGGTTATTCAATTCTATTAGTTGTTAATTGGCCTGATCAAATATATATGAGAATTGCAATTTCATATTTATTAACATATGGTGATACATCTAATATTTCTCGAAGTGTATTATCTTTTATTCTAAATTATAAGTCTATTACATATTTCTTTAAACAGTTGTGAACTCATTTATCTGCAGTATTAGCCATTTTTTTCTTTATTATATATATATGTGTTTGATGCAAAAAAACCTCTTGGTCTTAATATTTAACCTTGGCAAATTAATCTTCTGCTTGAAATAACTCATCGAGCTTGGCACCAAATCTCCACAATTGTTAAAAAAAAGTTTGGTCAATGCAAAGATCTTGAATACTTAACATTAAAAATTTAGTAGATAATACAATTCCTCTTGTACTCAACATTTATACAATTTTTTTTCATGTGGATAAATGGCAGAATTATAAAGAATCTGTCATAAGAGTTTGGACTCTTTTTTTATAATTTAATCGTCACAATTATAATAAAGTGCCTTTATTGTTTTTGTCAGATATTTTTTATTAGACCAGTATTAACCATCCAATTTTAAACATTATAAAAAATCATTTGTCAAAGTTTTCTGATGCTCCTGTTGAAATATTCTACAGCCTTTTATGACAAACTACTCAAAAGCATGATGAAGCAGAACATTTACAATGTCAAGCACATTTTATTAATTATCTTTGATATGAAAATCATCTTAGTGAGCTATTCGAATATTAATCAACATGAAAAAAGGATTCTTTGAATTACCGAGACCTTACTAATTATACACAAAAAGCAATATGCTTTTTGTTAAAACACTTTATTAATATTTATTTTTGAATTATTACAGATGATATTATAGGTATAACTATACAAGAACCAGTAGCATCACTTAACAATAAGAAGAAAAAAATTTCAAACAACACCAAAATATCAATGATGGCTATAGGAATCATTACCCATACTCAACATCTTCTCTTAGGTTTTAATATACTACACAAATCTAGCAAATTTACTTCATGTAATTACTTGTTTTACAAGAGAACTAATGTAAATACATTTACTAACTACTTGTCTTTAGACTTCAGACTATTAACATATGGCTACAAGTATTATGTGGAATGTTTAGAAGAAATTAATTGGAAATGTCTGCCTTGTTTGTTATATCTAAAAGAAGAAATAGAAGAGAATGTGAAAAGCCTACTGGAATGTCTAACAAAAAAAGAGTATAAAAAGAATAAGGGTTCTGAAGATAAACTAAAAAAAAACAAAGCGAAGAAGAGGATGAAGAAATTGCTATTAATTATAAAAAAACCAGCGATCTTAACAGTTTATTACTAAAGTTCAATAAATTGTAATTTTTTCTTAAATATACTATAAAATATAATTGATATAATAAAAGAATAAATTAAATGATGATCAAATTTCATAAATTTAATTGGTTGATATCATATGCATATCACATGTATATCTTAATTTAATTAACTAATCATAAGAAAGTTATCCTATAAGCAGCAAACTACAAAAGAAATACGTATATACAAAATTAACAAATATATATCAAGAAAGAGAAATTTCTAGAAACAAATGGAACTTAATAAAGAAATACTAATTACTGGTGGGCTCTTTGAATTTGTATGTGATACAGCAAGTAAAGTACTTAAATATTTAAATAACAGAGAGTTGGTAGATATTCTATGTATAACAAATTCCACAGAACCAGACAATATAGAGCAATTAGCAAAAGACCTTTCAATCAGTAATCCAGAAAGAATTACAATATTTGATATGCTATTATATGGCCAAATACGTGATGTGCTCAAGAAAGCAAAAGAGTTGCTGTAACAAGATACCATTAAGCAGTGGGCAGTACAAGCAAAAATAGCAAGTAACAATCCATTATCGATAAATTATATGATAAATATAAGTAAAGAGAAAATTAAAAAGGAAGAAAGCAAGATAGAAGGACTTGAAAAAGAAGGTCCAGTTATATAGCCTCAGTTTTTAGAACCAAAGAAAAGAAAATTATTAGAAGACAAAGAAGAAACAAATAGAGATATAGACTAGGTGGCTGGACAACTACAAGGCCTAAGTATCAGACCAAATCAACAAAAAACACCTAATTGATATACAAATAAAAAAATAAACAGCATAATACAAGATAAGTCCTTACACCTTCCAACAAATAATTAGTATATCGAAGATATAAAAACTACATTAAGAGAAAAAAATGCAGAAAGCTCAATATCAAAAGGAAAGATGATTAAAAAAGATGAAGCTCCAATTGACAGCATTCTAAGAGATGTAATCAAGATGCAACAAGCAGAGCTAGAACTTAACAACTCAATGATTGTTAATAGACAAGAAGCAAAAAATGAAACACCAATCCTCACAGCCACTATAAAACAAAGTATATAGTCTCTAGAGAATAGAATTTGTAAAGAAGGTCAATCCTTTATAGCAAAGGTGCCAATATACAGTTTTCCAGGTAACTCAGCAGAAGAACACGCTAAGTATACCAAAAAACTACTTGGAGAAAACAAATACATCAAAGAAGTAGAAGAACATTTTAGAAAAGAAAATTGCTGAGTAGAGGTGGTGTTTAATTGTAAATATAGAAGAGACTTAGCAGTAAACAGAATAAAGAAAAAGAAGAAGATTGGCTAAATCTAATTTCAGAAGAACCAGAAAATTCTCAATTCAGACAAGAAAAACAGGAAAAAATCAAGCAGTACCAAAAAGATACAATCATAAAAAACATATAAATATGGATTATATTATAATTTAGGATCTCCTAGCAGATCTAAAAGTATAAGAAGTTAAATATATATGCAAGAAACTAGAAAAGATTCAAGATATATATATCAAGTGCAAAAATGGCAGAGCTCTTGTAATAGTAGAGTTCAACACAAGAATAGAAGCTGCAGACTTACCCTGAATACTTCTGATAGGTGATAGAAGACTGGCTCAAGTCTCTATAGACAAAAAAGATTATAAAGAAAGAAACCAAAGACTTAAGTTTTAGCAAAACTAGTAGGAATTACAGAAGGTCTTTTTGAAACATTACTCCTCAGACATCTGAAAGATAGGAAAGCAAAAGCAGTATACATTCATTCCTAAAAAGAAAAGTGGATTAATGAAACAAGTTGCAAAAGTAATATTTGCTACTGAATCACAAATGAAAGAAGCACAGAGGAAATCAGTAAGATATAATAACCTTTATCTTCACTGATTACAATCTACACAAAAGAATGAAGAAAAAGCAAATAACCTCATAAAGAATCAGAAGTATTGGAGTGATGCACAGGAAAGCAAAAGTGGTACAAGCGATAAAAAAAAAAAACCACCAAGAAGAGAAAGATTTAGCAAGAAGTCATCTTTATACAAAGAGAAAAGTCCTGTTTCAGATAGAAGCAGCACTAATGAAGAGTATAAGAGAAAATAGAACAATAAAAGAAGACATTCTAATAACAAGCAAGAAAGAGAAAGAAGTTTAGATTATGAGGATACAACAGATAATGGAAGCTTAGCAGCAAGAATAGAAGAACATCATATAATGCTCCAAAAAATTATACACCATTTAGAAAGACTGAGTGAGCAGCCAATGGCTGCTCAACGCTTCTGAATTAGGAGTGCCAGTTGAACTAATAAAAATAGATGAAGGATTTAAACCCTTTCTGCAAAAATGCCTAAATTAAAACTTTGATCAAGAAGAAATGATTCTTCATCTAACAAAAAATATATATAAAGGAAAGGGTAAGATAGTCAAAAAAGAATCAATAGCACTTAAGAGTAAAAATAATGGGAGCAAAGATAATATAAGAAAAGAATATTTAGAATAATTAAAAGAGCTTAATATTGCAACTTACAATATTAACAGTATAAAGAGCAATATTCATAAACTAAAGTTTGTTTATGAGTAGGCACTGGATAACAAAATAGACATACTGAGAATTGCAGAGTCAAATATCATTAGCAAAGAAGGTAGTTGGCTATCTATTAAGCAAAACAACTTCAGAAGTTTCTGGGCAAGCTCAAACAAAGATAAAAA